AGACAGAGTCTTGCTTTGTCAGCATAGCTCACAGCAACCTCAAACTCCTGACCTCAAGCAATCCTCTGGTCTCAGCCTCCCAGAGTGCTAGGATTATGGGCAGGAGCCACAATGCCCCGCCTAATATATTTTCTATATCTTCTAATAATTTGATTAGTTTAATATAGATTTAATTTGTGATATAGTCATATTAGTAGAGGAAAATCTTATTTTGCAGAATGATTTTCAGGTGCCTTTTTTTTTTTAAAGATGGCCTGGATTTCTATTATTCCTCAAAACAACATGCTCAGAAGATGGTAGAATTCCTTCAATGTACAGTTCCTTGTAGGTATGTTCTGAACCTAAGTCCAAGGACCTGGGAATGGTTGGGGGTCACATCTGTTCTCCAGGATTAGGCAACTTCTTTTGTGTTAAAATATTTAAAATGGTAATAGGAATACTTACATAATTAGGAACATTTATTGGGTTAGCCACTTTGAGGGATATATTAGCCAAAGAGCATGTTAAGAATCTCTTCAGGGAAGTAGACCTAGCCCCATGATAATAAGTACTATAGTGCTGAACCATGGACCTAATGTAGATAAAAAGAGAAAGGAAAGATAGGGATTATAGGACTTTGGGGAAAAGCTCATTGAGAAAGTAGAATTTGTGCTCCAAAGAAAGGGAAATTTTCATAGGTGGAGTTTATATTGAAAGGTGAGATTAGTGTGAACTAAGACTTGGCAGTAGACAGTAGTGTGGCTTTTAATGGGTGCTATATATTTCTGAACCAGGGCATGTTTTGGAGATTTTTAGTCGATATGATTGAAAATAGTAGGTAGGGTATAGTCAGACTGGTGAAGGTTTGAAATGCAAGTCGAAGAAATTAGGCTTTATCATAGCAGGCATTAAGAAACTGTTTCAGACCTTGGATAGTGATGATTTGATTTGTTGAAAATTTGTATTGCTGAGTCTATACAAGTAAGGACCTTTGTCTTTATGTTATTATTAACTTTTTTCTTAATAGACAAAAAGCATCACAAAGATTGATCTCTCAGGATATCCATAGCAACACATATAATTACAAAAGCACTTTTTCTGTGGAAATTGTTCCAATATGCAAGGTATTTTTTTTTTCATTTAATTAATTTATATCTATAAGAGTACAGGTAATTAATTGCCTTACATGTAATTTGTAGCTCCTGGTTTCCTTGTGGAGTTGGTTAAAAATTTAGAGTAACTTTTAAAAATGATTTCTGACATATTCAGCTATGTTAAAAAGATATTATAAAAGTAATTATGCTTATAATTATGGATTGACACACCTTTTATTTTAGTGCAATAAAATGAAAAGACCTGGTTGCAGTTTTTAAAAGTCTATGTTCCTTAAAATTTGTGATCCTATGAATCTGTATGACAGTTCTATGAAACTTTGAGTAAAAGAAATGACACTAAAATCAATATTAGTGAGCCACCTTGTGAAATATGTGCAAACAGGATTTTGGCAAGATTAAATTAAATAATATTATGAAAATAAGATCATAAAAGCATAATCTGAATAAAACATTTAAAGTATAGATTACCATTTTATTGATAGTATAATACTAAGATAGAACCCTATTTCAAAAATAAAAATGAATTAAAATTCTACAAGTAGTTATTGAGCATCTATTGTATAGCAGGCTATATACTGGGGATTATATAGCTGTAGGTCTCTACCATGTAGGAACTTATATGTTGGTATATATATATGTTGGTATCACTAACAATGATAACTGCCATACTTTACTGTGACTATATTCTATGTAAATTTAATACCTAGGTACTTTAGTATCTTTTTTACCTCATTCACATCTCATAATAACTGAGATAAGCCATATCATTTTGAAGATGAGGAAATTGAAGTTTGGGGAGTTATACAAACTTGCTGAAAGTACATAACCACAAAATGATAAAGCTAGTATTTGCACCAAGCAAGGCCTGTGTCTTTAAAGCTGTTATTGCTAAGGTATACTATAGGACAGTACTAGGGATAAAATGATAGCTTAAAACAGTGTTGGCAGACTTTTTCTGTAAAGGGCCAGATAGTAAATATTTTTAGCTTTCAGGACATATAATCTCATTTGCAACTATTGAGCTCTGCTATTATTGCACAAAAGTAGCATGGATAATGTGTAAGTGAATGGCCAGGGCTATGTCTGGCAAAACTTTATTTATATAACAGTCTGTGGACCAAATTTGTCCTGAGGTCCTATTTCGCTGACCGCTGGTTTAAAGCAGTCAACATTTTCTGCACAAAACCTGAGGAATAAGAATTTAGGTGTGAGGATATATTCAGGTCTTGTGTATTAAATGCTTTGGCTGACTTAATTGTGTAACTGGGGAGGTACACCATGTAACAAAGTGTTTTTATTTATCTTTGGAAACTCTTGAGTTGAAAACCAGTACTGAACTAGGAGCTATTATGTTCAGAATGTCCCTTTGGTGGAGAAGCTTATGATTGTGAATAGATACACCTTAAAATAAACTCAGATCCTTTTTGTATTTTAATACAATTTAAAAATAGATAATTTCATTGCTGGTTAATATCTTCCAGTATACACATAGACGTCTGTGACTTTTTTGGCATTAAATCTTTGATTACATATTGGTTCATGTAGCCATGAAGAGAAACACGTTGTTCTCTTGAAATTTGTTTTTTATGGAGAGTAAAGAAATCATAAGTAGATTAGAAAATCACTCTCCTGATGTTTATAATACTTTGCTTAGAATGCATACTGTATTCACATATAGAGTGATAAACAGGAATTCACACTGCAATAAAATTAAAATAAACTTAATGATACCTTGATGAATAGGCCTTAGAAGATTTCTAAAGCATTTTTATTAAGATAAAGTATTCCTGTCTTAAGAAGGTATTGCCTATTTTCAGTTCTTTGAGGTCTGATTCTTTCTTTAGGCCTTGTTGATACATAGAATTAAACTAATGTTTTAGTTGGACAAGTGCAGTTGGGTTGGTTTACATTGATGAATGTTTATTGGACTGTTCTTTATGATTTGCCTTATTCTAAATGTTAGTTCTCATATCTAGGATAATGTTGTCTGTCTGTCTCCAAAACTGGCACAAAGCCT